CTTAGGTAACCCTTGGATCTCATGATTTTTTTTTTCTATTTCTGAAATCTTGTTTCTTTTATTGCTGCTTTAATATTGTATACAAAGCCAAGTATTGTCTCGAAAGCAGCACTCCTAATGTATATAGAGGATATAAAAAGATTTCTCAACAAAATTGACCTCTCTGTGGCAAAGAAAATTGCAGTGGAAGACACATTATTGCGTAGTCATATCTGAGGCTTGAATCTATGGAGAGTCTCACTCCACTGTCCTCTAGCTTTCCCTTATAAACCAAAATGGCTTACAAATGTCATCCACAATAGTCCAATAAAGATTAGGAACAAAACACTGTCCTTACATTGATGAGATAAGAAAGATTTAACTGCAGAATGCAGCATATAAGAACAGTTCATAAGGCTTGTTCTCGAATGAGAAAAATAGAATTCAAATTATATTTGTGTGTGTCTAGAATTTAATTGAGATGATCAGTTTATTTTCCACGTAACGTTTGATCAGATGCCTGTACTATAGGCCTAGATAAAAAGAAAAGAAAAAAAATTCTATCAGGAGAAATCAAGAAGACCCGTTATCTACAGACTGTGCAAAATATGTCAGGAAATAATTCTACCCTGAGCACTGAGAATGTTCAGTTAATAAAAAAAGATCAGCCACTCACTAAGAGAAAATAATTGTCTGTATCTATATTTTTCAAAGCAAAAAGGCAGCCACATCTTACACTAAATAGGACACATTAAAATAAGCTTTAATAATCTTTATGCAGAAGGAAACTAATCCATTTTCAGATCATACGATCCACAGCAATAAAAGGAAATCATCAAACTAAAAACAATTTTAGAAATGGCTGCAGACTCTCATTTAATTAACATGCAACAGATCATATATTTATGAGGAAGTCAAAATATTTAGGAAGCCTATAATCCTGTAAGCCTTAATGTGGTATAAAAACAACAAATAAATGCAAAGTGTTACTGTTATACATGCCTGCCTGATCAATGGTTTTCACATATTGATCTATAAATGGAGTTGACAGTCTGTGTTGGCTGCACATTTTCCAAGCAGCGCTATTTTTGCAGAAAACCAATACGGGCAATTACCTTTGTTTGAGATGCCAAGTCTTATCAATTCAATGTGATTTAGTGTCATTTTAATTAAATATCAGGATCCACTTCAGGACAATTTATACAAACAAAGCCTCAAACCTAACTATAAGCTTGATTCAAAGTAAACACGGACAAGTCCTACAGTCTCATAATATTTCTCAAAAACTCTGAGAAACAGAAGGCTTATATTTTTAGTAGCAATTTTTATGTCTGCCTTTTTGGCTAGCCACAACTTTGGCAAGTATCCTATAATCACAGAAGTAAGAAACAAAAGAAAATTGTTTCCTCTTTTTCTTTATAATATATTAAAAAAGAAAAATGAACAAGCACAGTCTGTTAATGGAAGAAAAAGGAGTCTTGTGAGTTAGCGTTTAGGAAGGGCTCGACTTAAGTCCTCATCCTAGCACTAATAAAAAGATATCTCCCTGTCCATGATGGCCATGAATAAAGTATTGCATTTGCGTGGAGTTTACAGGATGGAAATGGTGAATATTCATATATGTTGCTGCTTAAGACACCAGCATTAAATGCCGAAACTGCTCCTGTCTGCAAATCCTATGTCTGCAATTTTCTTGATTTGGGCTATTTAAACTCTTCATTAATATCTATTCTAAACTGTCTAGTACGCTGGAGCTTCCCTCTTATAAATAACAGCAAAGCCACATTAAACCTTTTGCATTAGCTATTCGCTGGATTGCACATTAGCCTTTCAGCCCTTAAAGAGGCACACTTCACTTGCCCCCCATTTACGCTCACTAAGCCGCCTGCTTCTGTGTTTAGCACATTCGAGTAAATAAGCAGTCCACCTTTAAGAGGTCTCACTCCGGTGATCAGAAGGAGACAACAAATCACTGAGACCAAGGAGCGTTCCTTCCCCACCAAGTGGAGGTCTCCAGATCTCTCTTACAGAGAGGCAATTTTCTGCTAACCACGTCCTCCCGTGTCCAAACTTCCCACCTCTCCAACATTTCCCAGGTAGCAGAGTGGCCTCTTTAAACCTTGAAAAGGCACTGATCTTACCAACTACATAAAAATGATTCTTCGGTCTTTAAAGAAAATGATGCACACCGCCAATGAAGTACTAATGGAGGATTAATGCCTGTTTTATGGAAATGCTTCCCTGCAGCACTTAGGTAATGAAAACTTTAACTTAATAAGTAAATCACCTGTGTTTGCATAGCACGAGGTCAAATAAATGTTTATATTGGCATTTCAAACTGTTCTTCTGCTTAGGATACCAAGAAGCGAGGCTCTTATGACGTATATGGGAGAATTTTATGTGGCGTTCTGAGTTCACAGTCATATTAAACATATTTTTAATTGAACACAATGAAAAAAGAGGATTTTACGAATTAATGACAAAATTATATAATTGATTTGACCCTAGAATCTTTTCATCACTTTCTGTAATAAGTTAAATCGTTATGAATCTAACATCAGATTCTCGTGTTATATACTCCAATAAGTCCATATTAGATTTGCATAATTGTTATGCCAGGGAACATGTAGTATAGATGTGCCATATATATGAAACAGGGAGCATAACATACATAGGACTACTCTAAAGTAGTCCTAATTTTTTTCTGTGCAGATTAAACGTATGTGTCTCTGTTACAACAAACCATGCTGCATGTGACATGTCCACACGTTTTTAGAATATATCTCCTCCCACCTCTCCGAAGTTCAAGATCTGCCTCCCTTGACCTCACCCCAACCTCCAACTTCTGAAAAATCAAGTTCTTAGTTTAGCTTCAGCAGATATCTTTAACAGGCTTGTTTGAATAAATATGCCAAAATACTTTACATTCTGTCAGTATCTAGTCAGAAAATTGTGCATGGAAAAAAGAGATGAAAAGAACCGAGACAGAAAGAAAATTAGTGCCATGGCAAGCTTTCAATACAGTATCTCTGCGCCAAGTTTTCTCGGTGAAATGACATATCCTCACTAAAATACCCCTTTTATATAATTATGCACTGAGCACACATAACCAAAAGTAACTTTTATTTTTGTTCCTTATCGAGGAATACATATTGCCCAGGCTAAGAATGCGGAAACAAAAGCTGGGATAATTATAGCTAATTTAACTTTGGAAAACTCTTCTCTAGCAGTCCAGCATATAACCCCCCAAACTAAAGTTATGTAACAAGGTAATATCAACAATGAGAAACTGCATGATAAAATCCTGCCCAAAAGTGAAAAATGCTAATTTTGTCTCATTTAGCAGCTGGATACAGAAATGCTCATTAGTTTTAAGAGGGTTAATCCTTTTAACTTTTGCATATTGATATGCCAATTATGCCTAATTGTACAAGAGGCATCAGTCAAGGTAATAGTGCATAAACACATGAAAGTTATTAAGTACATCCCAACATGTAATAAAGTAGGTGTTAATTGGTAGCTGAGTTCTGCGGGCTATTGAGGTGGATAATTCATTGAGAGATGGATCACTTGTAATTTCTCTCCATAATTCCTTTTGCAGTCTCATGCTGTGATGTTTTCATGCTTGTCAAAAACAACTGTGGCATAGTGCCTTTTGTTAAACACAGCCAATAAAATATGTTAGGCATCATTAAATATACTTAACTTTTAAACTTTTTCAAAGGTACAGTTCTTACTGACAATACATTGTAGAGATTCCAATAATTTACTCTAACCATGTCTCAAGTTCATAGTTGAGGAACATTTTAGCTGGTTTAAACACCAGCAGCGTTGTGCCTCCCAGCAGACAATCCTTTTAAATGAGAAAGTCAATAAAGAGAAACGCATCTCTCCGCATCTCTCGGTACCTTATCTCAGGATGTATCTCCCACTCCCAAAATAGAATCACTGGCTTCCCTCACACTAAATTTGTCTATAATACCTGAAGAAAGAATGATTAAAATCCTGGCTCCTGAGATGGTCGTGGGTTAATTTCGCGCTTGAAATTCGAGTGAAAACAGAAAATAAATATAATCAGTAACATGCCACTTAGCAAGTTTATCCCATTTAATAACTCAGTTAGGGCGCTGAATATTTCATAGGCCCCTACGATATTAACAGAACACTCAATTAATAGCTCACATGTTTCTGCAAAGTGACTGGGACTCACAGCCCTTCCCCAGCTAACCTATTTCCCGCTCTTGCTCTCACTGTGAGAAACAAAATAGATCTGGGGTCCAAAAGAGTGGCTAACATTGCATAAATAATTTTGTAACATCCTATGGCCTCAGCTGCAAGTTACCACCATTATGGAAGAAAATTAACCAGAGGAGACTCATCGCAATCAGTGTGTTTAGTGGCTCAGGATGCGTGCAGGGGCAGGGACACAATTGGCAGTAGAGTTCATCTCTAACTATTTTATTTCAAATCTTCCTAATGACACATTATCGAGACAAAATGGCTTCCTCTCCAAACCTTCAATCGCCACACCATTTCAATCATTTAGGCTCATTCCAAATCAAATCATAATTCCAATATTATATATTGTTGGGAGATTTTAAAGAAGAGATTTTCCCTTTTTTTTTTTTTTTTTTAAGATTTCCCCCCCACCGCCCCCAGTTCATTCTTAGCTAATTTTAGCCTCTGGCTTTTCAAAGTGATGTACTGTATTTGGAAGTACAAACACCACATGCTAGCATAACCTCATTATTTTTATAACACTGAAGCATGATAGTAGAGGCCCTTAAAATGAGTCAAAGGTGCTCTTCAGTCTACTCCAAATCCACTTTATCACTCTGGATTAAGCCCAGCTCTTCTCTCACAACTGGGGATATTATTATGACTATAAGTAGGCAAGATAAAATGCATTACAAAAACAGTTTTCTCGTAGACATTAGGAAAACAAATAAAACAAAGCTAATTAGCTTTTTTAACAGAATTCTGTATCAGGAAACATGGGGGTTTTGGGGTATTTGACTTACGGGTTCAATGACCTTCCCAACATCGGTGAGGATCATGGATTTACTTTGGCTCAGCCTGTCATGGTGGCTGTTGGCATTTTTGATCCTCATTTGCACAGCTCCGGTGCCTTGACGGGTGGAATTCAGGGTATCCACAGAGGTATCAGAATTTGTAGATTTCTGCATATTATAGCTTTATCCTGATAAAATATAAAAGTGTTGTATTATTCCAAATATATCTTTTCCAAGAAAAATTTGATGGAGTGCACATTCCTATTAATCACTAAGGTCCAGAAATGGAACAAATAATTTCCACCTCTCTGAATAGTGAAGAAGAAGGTAGTTAGTTTCTAATTGTTTTTATCAACTGGAGCCTCTGCATGTGGACAGTACTATGCATATCAGAGGACTTAAAAGTTCATGGGCAGCACACTCATACTTCTGTAGTTCCTAAGTCCATTAAGGAACTCTTAATGGCAATATGATACAGTCTTCCTTATGTAGAAATGATGTTGCCAACAGAACATCTTTAATGTATACACTGTTTTCATTCACAACATCACTGATCTCTTACCCACCCCACCCCAATCCACCACTACACGCTAATATCAGCAGCCTTTTTTGGTGAACAAAAACCTATGTGGATAAGGTCATATTTAAGTGACTAGAATTAGCTTTGAGCAAACTAATCTGGTCCCATTGACTAATATGTTGGCCTCGACTTATTTGCATGGTGTTCAGTCCTAGCCGCTTTCCCCATTCACAATACCTAAGAAAGGAAATTAAAGTTCCTTTGTCCTCTGCCATCTGCCAGTGTCTGCTGTTCAGTAGCTCTGTTGGACATAGTATTTATGAAGAATATGAAGAAAGAGAAAATCAAAACCATTTATTTATTTATATTTACTTTAATGGAAGATTAAAGTGATTAGGGAGGAAAATTGTAAAGGAGTGGCAGTGAGGAAACAATAATTTGGAAAAGAAAATGAAGAGAACTGAACTGTGGCAACATCAGTGGGTGGACTAGGAGGGCTTATTTGCTTCCTCAAATCCATAATCCTTTTCTATCTCCCCTCTCCACAAGCCCCTCAAATGAACATATCATCTCATTTAAAAGAGAATATTTGCAATGCAAACACAGCTTCCAAGCTTGTAGAAATGGACCTCCTTCTAGCCTGATTATTGTCTCTGTGTCTCACCTATAGACATCCCATAGCTAGTCTGGCACATGTGTCCAGTATTAGAATCAACTGTCATCAGTTACCGAACCCAGTATAATCTGAAAGAATGATTATATTTTAGGGAGCTAACTGTATTGGTACTCCTATATCTGTTGGACAGAGACAAAGGGGCTAGCTAGCATCATGGTAGTGTTCAAGCTAAGTCAACACTAAAGTGATTAAAAAAGGATGAAAACATTTTAATAGGAGCAAAGTGTTACCTTACAATTGATACCAATAAGGCAATTGAGTGATAACTTAGAAAGGAAGTTAATATTTGTAGAGTATTTACTATGTGCCAGGCAATGCACTCAGTGATTCAATTCTCACAAAACTCCCATGAGATAAACATTAAATTCATATTTTTCTAGAAGAGAAAAATAAAGATCAGAGAAACTAATAATTTTCCCCAAAAACAATGGATAGAAAGAGTAAAAGGCCTATATTTTATTCCAAAAGAAAAAAAAAGATTCATACAGGTGAATCGACAAATTCTAGTTAATCTACACTATGAAATATTATTCAACAATAAAAAGAATGGACTGTTGATGCATGGGACCACATGGATGAATTGCAAATTCTTTGAGCTGAGTGAAAGAAGCCAGGACATTTAAAAAATATATATATATCTATGGAGTACTTATCATTTCATTTACATAATATTCTAGAAAATGCAAGCTAATATTTAAATAAGAAAGCTCATCAGTGATTGCCTAAAGATGAGATGAAGGGAAAAATGGACTATAGTGAACACAAAGAAACTTTTGGGGATGATAGATATGTTTGCTAGCTTGATTGTGGAGATGGTTTAACAATTGTATGCATATATTAAAAATGATCAAATTGTATGTATTAAGTACTTTCACTACTGTATTTCAGTTATACCTCATAAAGATGTTTACATGAAAGTTGGTTTAAAAATTCCTTAACTAGGTGTGCCTGGGTGGCTCCGACTTCAGTTGGTTAAGCGTCTGACTTCAGCCCGGGTCATGATCTCTTGGTTTGTGAGTTCGAACCCTGCATCAGGTTCTGTGCTGACAGCTCAGAGCCTGGAGCCTGCTTCAGATTCTGTGTCTCCCTCTCTCTCTCTCTCTCTGCCCCTCCCCTGCTTGCAATCCATCTCTCTCTCTCTCTCTCTCTCTCTCTCTCTGTTTCTCTCTCAAAAATAAAATAAAACATTAAAAAAATGTTTTTTGATTTAAAAAAAAATCCTTAAAGGGCA